AGAATAAAATGAAATTATCTGCTCTGATCACCCAAACCACCCTCAGCCCCAACTCCCCCAAACCACGTCCAGTCCCCTCGGAAATCTGCAAAAGCCCCGATTTTTGCCGCTTACGAAACTCGTCAAACCCTAAAAAAAAAATCAAAAAAAACCAAAAAAAAAACCAAAAAAACCCAACCCAACCCGCCAAACCTTTCCCGAGGGGGAGGGGGGAGATGATAAACCCTCTTGCTCAACCGAAGGGTCCCGGGAATCGGGAATCGTGTTGGATCCTGCCCCTCGATCCCGTTCAATTCTCCACCCGTGACTCAGAGGAGCTGGAGGGGGGAGGTTTGGGGGGAAGGAGAAGGGGGGAGAGGGGGGAGCTCCCTCTTCCCGTTACTTCCCTGCCTGCAAACAATGCATTTTTCGCCGCCGACAAGGTGTGTTCGGCACAAGTCGCTGCAAGGCACGTCAAGTCCCGGCCCTCCCCCTTTCCCCCGATTCCCGCGCCAAGTTTGCGTGGGTTTTTTGTTGGTTGGTTGTTTTTTTTTTTTTCCCCCTCTCTCCCAAGCAGATAAAAAGGGGGACGCTCCCCGAGCTTCTCCCATCGCAGGGGTTTCTCTCCTCTCGTCCTCTCGCTCGGTTTGGGGTTCTCCAGCTCTTTTTTTTTTTTTTAATTTTGATTTTCATCTTCATCTCCCGCTCTTCCCCCCTCACCATGAGCCGGATCTCCTTCCGATCATCCACCGGAGGGGGCATGAGGGGCTTCAGCTCGGGCTCTGCCATCGTGGGAGGAGGAGGAGGAGGAGGAGGCACCACCCGGAGCAGCTTCAGCTCCGTCTCCGTCTCCAGGGTCGGGGCAGGACGAGCCGGAGGCTTCGGGGCCGGCGGGGGTTTCGGCAGCAGGAGCCTCTACAACCTCGGGGGGAGCAAAAGGATCTCCTACGGCTCCTCAGCCATCGGGGGGGGTCTCCGCAGCAGCGGCTTCGGGCTGGGCTACGGCGGAGGAGGAGCCGCGTTCGGCTTCGGAGGAGCTTTCGGGCTGGGAGGAGGAGGAGGAGGAGGAGGAGGAGGATTCGGGATGGGGGGAGCCGGGTTCGGAGTGCGAGGGGGGTTCCCCGCGTGCCCCCCGGGAGGAATCCACGAGGTGACGGTGAACCAGAGCCTGCTGGCCCCGCTCAAGCTCGACATCGACCCCGAGATCCAGAAGGTTCGCACGCAGGAGCGGGAGCAGATCAAGACCCTCAACAACAAGTTCGCCTCCTTCATCGACAAGGTGAAAAAGGGGGGAGGGTGGGGGTGGTTTTTGGCTGCCTCGAGGGTGTGTGGGGGAAAAAAAAAACCACGCAAAACTTCGGGAAGAAGCTTCCCTTGGATCGTGGGGACTTGCCTGGACGGATCCCGGGCTTGGCTTGGAAACTAAAAACCCCCTTTGATGTTTCCGCTCCGCCAGGATGAGCCCTCAGTGCCTTTTGTGGGGCGCAGTAAATTCCCCCCTCCTTGTCCTTGTGAAAAAAAACCCAAAACGTCCCAGGGGGTTGGATGGATCCTGTAAAATTCCAGCCACGTGGAATCCCAGCGGGTCTCCCGTGGGGTGACAGCAGCCCGGACCGGCGAGGTGGGCTCTGGGGTGGGGGTGTGGGGGGGGAAGAGCCACCCAAAATTGCAAATTACAATTGTGTGGCCCCGTCCAAACTCTGGAAAAACCTCCCTCTGAGCATCTCCAGGCGCTTCTTCCAGGATATTCCCAATAATTTTGGCTGGATTGTCCCCCCCCCGTCCCCCGACCTTTCAGAGGTGTTTGACGGTCCCACCTTCTCCCTCCAGGAAGGGAAGGGGATTTTTGGTTGTTCCCGTGGTGTTTAAGACATTTTTGGGTTTGGGGTGGTGTTTTCTTTTTTGTCCTTTTTCAGGTGCGCTTTTTGGAGCAGCAGAACAAAGTGCTGGAGACCAAGTGGAGCCTCCTGCAGGAGCAGGGTCACACCGTCACCAGGAAATCCCTGGAGCCCCTTTTCGAGTCCTACATCAGCAACCTGCGGCGGCAGCTCGACAGCCTGCTGGGCGAGCGGGGCCGGCTCGACTCCGAGCTCAGGAACATGCAGGACATGGTGGAGGACTTCAAGAACAAGTAAGGAATCGTTTCCTGCAGCGGGAACAACCCCCCAACAGGTGGGGAAAATCCAGGTGCTGCCGATTTGGTTGGTGGATTCACCCCTCGGGTCTGCTCCGGGTTTTTCCTCTTCCTGCTGTGTCCCCAAAAAAATACCCCTGGACACGGAGGAATGAGGAAATCCAGAGGGTGACGGGCAGGCAGGCAGGGAATGAGATGGAACTGTGAACTTCCAGCTCCCAAATCCTCCCCTTCCTCTCTCCCTGAAGGGAATTCCACCTTTTCCAGAGGTCTGAGTGCTGCTCAGCTCCCACCCCCTGAGAGGGATGGTCAGCTCTTTATTGCCCCGGGGAGGGAATTCACCCCTTTCAGGACACACCAATTGGCACCTGAAAGGGATATATTTTTTTTGGTGATTTTTTGGGGGTTTTGGGTGGGGTTTTTTAGGCTGGGCAGTCTTTTTTATTTATTTATTTATTTATTTTTAAGTTGTCTTTGAACCGGAGCCGGCCAAGTGAGGGTTTGGGAGTCACCCCAGAGGGCTGAAATTTGTTAACATCGGGTAATTAGGGCTGTGAGGAGACAGATTTTTGGGAGGAGGAGGAGGGGGAGGGGGGGTGTGGGGGAGCTTTCATCCCACAGGAGGCACCGACGCGGCTCCCCGCGCGGTTTCGGGGTGAGTTTCGGGCCTCGGAGTGTGGTTTGGGCTCTCAGAAAACACGGATCAGACCCCCCCAAAAAATGATTCATCAGATGGTGTGGGTTGCAGAG